TATAGTATCACATACCCCAAAACCCTGTTCTAATTATTAAGGCCCCTACATTATGTGGGCATTTCAGTTGTTTTTGTTTTTCAAGTTGGCTTTCATACCTGGGTTTTGTACCCTAAACCTTAAAGCCCAAACCCCTAAACCCTAAAAAAGCCCTAGCCCCTAAATCCTATAAACCCAGTGCTGAATTCCTCAAAAAGAATCTGAAGATTTGAGGATTCAGATGAGAAGCTGCTTGTGCTCGACCCCGGTGCTGAGGCTGTAGAATCACGGTTTAGGTTTTAGGGTTTAGGGTTTAGGGTTTTAGAATCGATCGGGGTTACTATCCAAGAAGGGCTGAGTATTGTGGCTTGCGGGATGTGGGGGGTATAGTTTCTATCATCAGTGAGGTAATTATGTACAGTAGTATATACTACAAATCAGTAAGATACTTCTATACTTTAACAGTATACCATGTACTTCGACTCTGGTTTTGGATATAGGACCCTAAACCCTAAACCCTAAACCCTAAACCCTAAACCCTAGACCCTAAACCCTAAACCCTAAACCCTAATCATAGTGAGGCCTTCCTGAGTCTCCCACAGCCCAGCCAAGGCCACGTCCTCTCTCGGTCTGCAAAGCATCGGGCACGTTGGGAGGAAGCCAACCATCGCCTGTAGCTCGGACGAGAGAGCCGGGTTGAGGGTTTAGGGTTTAGGTTTAGGGTTTAGGGTTTTGGGTTGAGGGTTTAGGGTTTTGGGTTTAGGGTTTAGGCTTTAGGGTTTAGGGTTTAGGGCCGGGTTGAGGGTTTAGGCCGGGAATTGCACTCCTTTGGGGGGTCTCCTTGGGGTTTATGAGGGCGTTTCCGAAAACAAGGGGTACCTCATTTTGGGGGTCCTTATAATAAGGATCCTACTATTTAGGGTACTATGTTAGGGTCCCCTATTTTTGGAAACCCCCATGAAACCTAAACCCTACAGTCTGAACTTTAAGCCTAGGTGTTAGGGTTTGGGGTTTGGAGTAGCTGAGAGAGGAGCAGTTATGTTGGGTGACCTGTAAGCGGCTACCTGAGATTTGTCCCTGTCGGAGTCCAGTCTAGATTCCATACACGCGGCCTCGTAATCCCTGTGGAGCTGCTCCATGATACTAGACGACTACACCATGATGGCAGTTTCGCATGACGTCTTGAAGCCCTCAAACCCTAAGCCCTAAGCCCCCTATAGTCATCCTAAGTTCGAGAAGAAGGAGAGGGCATTTGGGTGGTGGCCCAGCTGAGATCTCATTGGTCAGAGCCTCCGCAGCTTATACAGGAATTTTCCTGAAGCCAGCATCCCCTCATCCTTTGAGAGCATACCACCCTGCCCCACATCCACGGCCACAAGCTGCTTGAACTTTACACTAAACCCTAAACTCTAAACCCTAAACCCTAAACCTAAACCCTAACCCCAAACCCTAAGCCCTAAACCTAAACCCTAAACCCTAAACTCTACATTTCTGAGATTTGATGTCCTCCAAGCATCCGACGGAGTCGAGTCAAGCTGCTTGAGTCCCGAACTCCTGGGTTGCAGACCGCACGACTCCTAAACCCGCCGATTGTAGAGCCTAAATAATGAGAATAGGGTTTAGGGTTTAGGGTTTAGGGTTTAGGGTTTAGGGCCTTATTATAGTATTTGTCTAATATACCCCAAAACCTTATTCTAATTATTAAGGCCCCCATATCAAGCCTTCGAACATTTAGGGTTTAGGGTTATCCTACATGGGCCGCCGCACACCTTGGCAGAAGATCTTGAAATTCCCATACCCTGCCCACCCATACGCCCGGCATCCGAGACCACTGATGCCCCCAAGCCTGTGATGTAAAACCCTAAACCCTAAACCCTGCATGCTAAAGGCGGAACGTTAAACCCTTCAACACAACCTTGGCCACTGAAGCCCGAAACCCGAATTCATAGCCATTACCCTAAACCCCAAGGCCCCAACACATGCCTTGCTCAATGAAGACAAAACCTAAGTCCTTCAAACCTTTTTAATAGCCATTACCCTAAACCCGAAATCCCGCAAGCCGTTTAAAAGCCATGCGAGAGCAAAGCGCCAAGGCTGAGCTGGTCACAGAATGTGGGCTGCCACGAAGGCGTCGCCACCTCCATCGATGTGGCTGCAATGCTCCCAGGGGAGGCACATTTCGGTAGCCTTTTGTTCCGTGGTTCAGGGTTTAGCGTCTGTTCAGGTTTCTTGGCAGCTTCTGAGACCAGTGCTGCTGTCATTGTCATATTCCGCTGGATGGATAGCTACACAATACCAAACATCGTTTCATGTTTCATGACGATTCAGGCCGCCTATATAAACACATGTAGAGTCTTGTAACCTCAGAAGGCATTAAAACAAGCTAGCAGCCCTATCTAGTCTATACTGTGTCAGACTGCTTGGCATGTTTAGCTATGGGAGGTTCAGGCGAACTGTGTGCGGACGCTGGAAAAACGGCACTTGTTCGGAATTTCATTCCCTAAGCGGTAAGCTTCCTGCAAACCCTAAAGGGGCTAGGTATCCGGCACCCATCCAATATGGACATTTACAGCGAGTATGTTTTAGTTCTATACTCGGACTCTTTCTGCGCATGAGCCCTTAGCTCTCATCCTCAAGTCCCAAAGGACTGAAAAATAAGAAAAAAATTAAAATCATAAAAAAATAAAATAAAAATAATCATTTTTTCCTTGGAGGTTGGGACAAACAAGCTTTGATTTTTTTTTTAACCGTGGACGCCAATCCACTTCAAATAGGCAACTTTCAGCGCCTTTGGGACCGAACCTGCGGTAGTAGCAGCAGCAGCAGCAGCAGCCGCGGCAACAGTTTCGTTGTAGTTCCGTTCGTACTAGACTCTGGAAACAAGGCCCTGGACTCGAATCTTTGCAGCCAAGGGTTTAGGGTTTAGGGTCTAGGGTTTCTCCAGCTCAAGCTCGCTTCTGGCCACGAAGCAAATTCCGCTGCGAGGCTAAAGGACACCATTTCGATTCACAGTCGGAGAAGCAGCTCGGTGCTGCGCTGGCTCCGCTGCCCTTTGAACGAACCGAGCTTTGCAACAGTTGAACTTGTGTTTTGTCATCGTGGGCGTTTGCTTGTGCATACATGTGTGTGTGTGTGTGTACATCTATACATATAGTGTATGTATGTATGTATATATATATAGATATGTATATATATATATATGTGTGTGTGTTGGTAGGCAGTTCCCTAAACCCTAACCCTAAACCCTAAACCTAAACCTTTCACTCTGGCAATGCATTTTCGCTTTGCTTGGGTGGCTTGTGATGTGTAGCATTTCTCCAAAGCAGAAATCCCCCAAGCCCCTAAACCCTAAGCCTATCTTCTTCAGGATGAGTGGTGTAAGTAGCGGAGGCCACGAAGCCCTCTTCAACTCCCTTATGTTGCCACCAAGAACTGCAGAAGTATGCCGTTGCACATCAAAGTCAGCGACTTTTGGGGGGAAGGCGACCATGATGCCCGCGTAGATTTGTGGTTTAGGTTCTCGGAAATGTCCTACTTGGAGGTTCATGGGTACTTATAAGCGGGGTTATAAGTAGGGTAATTATATTTATAACCCATATTAGGGGAC